TGAAAAGCTGCTAGGGTACAAAAAGCTGCCATGCAGAGAGAACCCAGTGGAAGTACTTTTACAAGTTGAATTTAAACTGTATTTGTGATTGAATCTGCTTTGCAATTACAGTATATCCACTCGGTTCTAGTCTCATGCAAAAGTTTAGGCACCCCTCGATAACAGATTTTGGTGATTTTTTACAGTCTCTCTTGGAAATGGAAAAAATGCAGCAAACAGTGATGCATAGTTACTTCTTATGCCATAAACTGAACAAAAATAAAAACATTATTATGGCACGGTGCAAACGTTTTGGCACTCTAAGAGTTCCAGAGTCTCAGAGTCTCTCACAAGGTTTCAGACCTTAATCAGCTCATTAGATCTGATGCACAGCAACAGCTGTCATTAGTAAATGCCAATTTCAAAGCTGTACAAATACTTTGACTCTTCAAACCTTATGCACACACTTGCGGACACCCAACAACCATGGGTTCCTCTAAGCAGCTGTGTAAGACCCTGAAAATGAAAGTTATTGATGCCCACAATGCAGGAGAAGGCTACAAGAAGATAGCAAAGCGTTGTCAGCTTGCAGTTTCCACAGTGAGAAATGTAATTAAGAGATGGCAGATCAGGGGAACTGTGGAGGTCAAGATGAGATCTGGAAGACCAAGAAAACTCTCGGACAGAACTGCTCGTATGCTGGTCAGAAAGACAAATCAAAACCCCCATTTGACTGCAAAAAACCTGCAGGAAGATTTAGCAGACTCAGGAGTGGTGGTGCACCGTTCCACTGTGCAGCGATGCTTGCACAGACAAGGCCTTCATGGAAGAGTCAGGAGAAGAAAACCTTATCTGCGTCCCCATCATAAAATCCAACGTCTGAAGTATGCAACAGGACATCTACAGAAGCCTGATGCGTTTTGGAAACAAGTGCTGTGGACTGATGAAGTTAAAATAGAACTCTTTGGACACAATCAGCAAAGGCATGTTTGGAGAAAAAAAGGAGCAGCATTTCATGAAAAGAAACAACTGCCAACTATTAAGCATGGGGGTGGATCTATCATGCTCTGGGGTTGTGTTGCAGCCAGTGGCACAGGAAACATTGCACGGGTGGAGGGAAGAATGGATTCCACTAAATACAAGCAAATTCTGGAAGCAAACATCACACCATCTGTAAAAAAGCTGAAGCTGAAAAGAGGATGGCTTCTACAACAGGACAATTGATCCTAAACATACCTCAAAATCCACTATGGAATACCTCAAGAGACGCAGGCTGAAGGTTTTGGAATGGCCATCGCAGTCCCCTGATTTAAACATCATTGAAAATTTGTGGGAAGATCTTAAAAGAGCTGTGCATGGAAGATGACCAAAGAATATTACAGAACTAGAAGCCTTTTGCAAGGAAGAATGGGAGAAGATCCCAAGTACAAGAATTGAAAGACTTTTAGCTGGCTATGCAAAGCGTTTGCAAGCTGTGATATCTGCCAGAGGAGGTGTTACTAAGTACTGATTGTGTAGGGTGCCCAAACTTTTGCACTGTGCCATAATAATGTTTTTATTTTTTATTTTTGTTCAATTTATGGCATAAGAAATAACTATGCATCACTATTTGCTGAAAATATTGTGCATTTTTTCCATTTCCAAGAGAGACTGTGTTAACATTTGTTCAAATAAAAAAATCACCAAAATCTGTTATTTATCAAGTGGTGCCTAAACTTTTGCATGAGACCGTATGTGTATGTGTGTGCACTTTCAGTGAGACTAGTGACGAATGTGTTACTGGCTATTTAGTCTTTGAATTAGGTAAGGGATCGGTCATTTAATTATACAGCCCATTGTCAGGGGACAGACCAAAATGAGCTCAGTCCATTAATGTGCTGCTCCCACTGGGTCTGGAATGACAGTGGCCCCATCTACATCGAAGGCTGCTGCCATACAGTCCACCAGTCTGTTGGCTTACGTTGATCTTGACTCATAGTGTTAACTCATCAAGTCTGGAATTACTATGCTCAGTTGGAGCATCAGCATCATTTGGACCAGTGCTTACCTCTGATGGAGGCAAACAATGACAGGGTGTTCTTTCTGTTAAACACTAAAATCACAGTATTACGTTTGTTCATTAACAATCAAGAATACCATAAAACTGTGAGATACGACTTTGTCAACGGCTGCAGTACAGCAGCCTTGTTTTCAGACGTGTCCATCGACTTGATACATGTAGTTTATGTATTGTTGTCAAAACCATCAGAAAATGAAAAGAACACATTGTTGAATAGATGGCAAAATGATTATGGTGTGTATAACAACCAACTTCAACTAGGAAAGGGGTCCACTCTTGAAAAGATGGGATGGATCATCAATTAATTCATCTTAATGTGAAATTCTTTCAATGCATTTTATTTTCAGCAAGACAGAAGCAAAATGGATTTTTCTCATATTAATGTTGGTGAGACCTCTTTTCAACCTTTCTATGAAATGAATGCCCCAGCTTGTTTTTGAGACTCTCCATGGTTTTCCAGTTTGTGTGAATTCTCTGAGGCTGGTCATGAAGTGTTCTCTTGATGACTGCAAAGGAAACATACACCTGCATCCTGGAGAGCATTCTTGACTTGCTGTGCTGTCATGAAGACCTTTGTATGCCTCCATGCCAGTGAAAGCTGTGGCCGGAGGCATTACGTTTTTGGGTTGTCCATCCGTCTAGTTTGTTCTTGTGAATTTAACATTTCAGGAACACCTTGAGTGAATTTTCTCTAATTTGGCACACATGTCACCCTGGACTCAAGCATGAACTGATTCAATTTTGGTGGTCAAATGTCAAAGGGCAAGGCCTCACTGATGTCACGTCTGCCCCATTCTTATGAATTTGACAGGTTGGCAGGGGCATACAACCACAAAGCTGTATTTCTAGTTTTTAAGTGATTTTCCACTCACCCGCAGTTTCTCCTCCATCTACCAGGTTGGCTGCCATTCTTGTCATCCTTTGCACACCTGCTTTTTTTAGATTGTACTCAGGTGTGTGCAATGCATAGAAAAGTGCTATACAAGCCATCCATTTACCAATTACCACTGATAGACTTTTGCTTGCCTTGAGCCTCATTATGGTCTTCACTTGCATGGTCACCTCTTTACTCTTTATATTGACAGACAACTGCTCCTCAAGCTAAAAGGTCAACACCCAATTAACTCCAAACAAATTAATGCCAAAACATGTAATTGGAACATGTAGGATCTAAATGTGTCCAATTACCTTTGATCCATCTCAATCTGGACACTATGTGCTCCCACACAGTTCCTTCTATATTGCTATATACACCCACTCAAATTAAAGCTAAGACCTGGCACTTTAATGTAATAGCCATTATTTTATTTCAAATCGAATGTGCTGAAGCACAGAGCATGAACAACAAAGACTGTGTGAAGTGCTGTAAATGGTGATGGTGCAAAAAAAGCACAATTAAACTGTTTTTTTGTCATTTTTTAAGTCAAAGCACTTGTTTGCTGTTTTTTCTGACATTCTGTTGAGCAGTTAATTGATTAATCAAGAAAACCAGGAGATTAACCTGTGATGAAAATAGAATTAGTTGCAGCCCTGTTATGTCCATGTCCTGCACTTACAAAGCAGCATGTTCATTCATTTGGAGTGGTGCTGAATGTACCATTAGCCAGTTTGAGATCTCAGCTATGCCAAGGTGAATTTACTGTGTACAAGCCTCTGAAGGGAAATGATTCTTTAAAGAAGTAGCTTGTACACTAGGCACGAGTTGCGTGTGCAGTCTTATGTAGTACTGAATGATTAATAGTAGTGTACTGTCTGTTTGAAGAGTCTCGGTGGCACATGGTGTGCATGGCTATATTTGTGTACTTCTGTGTGGTAATGTGTTTGAGGATGACACAGTGAGGAGTGACACAAACAAAAAGCTATGATTGTCAAAGAACGAGAGAGGAAATATGCAGAGGTGTTAACACCTTTAACTGATCTTTCTATGCACATCCTTGTAACCAACACATGGAGATTAGTTTGCATGCACAAACACGCACCCACCCACCCACAGAGTCAGAGCCATGAGGAGGTCTCTGAGGGAAACAGATGTGCAGTGCGATGTGATTTGCATGTTTTGATTTGTTGCCATTCACTGCTGGGCCACTATCCTGTTTCTGCTGCTGGGCTTCCACAAGGCCATGCTGCAAACTTTAATGGCCAACAAACCACAGCAGTCAGTGAATTACAACGATATCTACATGAGGACTAAAACTGGGGAAAAACATTAAGGTTCGATCAACATTATTTCCAGTAAATCTGCGCTGTAGTGACTCTGAACAAGTGTGTATACAGTACTCTGACTGTTTACACTGCTGCTTATACTACAGTTATTCGTGCATGCTCCAATTCTGTGACTAGAACATAACAAAGAACAACCATTTAAATCTGAATATTACCCTCAAGGTTTGTTGTTTCATCAATGTTGTGACCTACACATAGCTCCGCTTGTAGTCTGCTGGCCCAGTCTTTAGCCCTGTACGGATACCGTAAGAGGACACACAACCTGATTCACATGGGTGCTGGGGATGGATGCTGAACGAGGGTCAACATGTGGCCTGCCTTGGCCTTTTAATCCACTGACTAAAGATTCAGAAAATGCAATCCACGATCCATGAATTTTGGGCCCCTCTAGGTAAACAGAAGACATTCACTTTGTTAAAATTTAAATAAAAAAATAAATTAAAACAAATTTTTTTACCATAACACTTGTGTAGTACCATGTGTAGTACAGTTCACACTGTCTATATCTGAATATGAACCTTGTAGATGGTTGAACATAACTGATATATTTAAGGCTTTCTTTAAAACTGAACTGAAGAGTAAAATACACGTTTAATATATACATGATAAAGCTGATGTCATCAAGAATCTCAATAAAAATGTGCTGCATATTTTCCAATATTTTTGAGATAACAGTTGAAAGACCAAACAATTACTAAGTGCAGCCCTACTAATAAGTCCTGTATGTCCTTCTTTACAGATACATTGAGAACTGGACAGGTCTGCAGACCCTGAGGGATGTGGACATGGAGCTCTACACCGGCTTACAGAGGCTGTAAGTGTGTCTGTTCATTCATGCAGTGCTACAATGTTATAGTACTTTACTGTCATCACTAAAACACCTGGCTAAGGAACATCACACTAAAAGCTGTAACACAACTGTTCCAGAGTGTCAGGGCAGTATGAAAATAAATGCATATCCTTTATAACTGGAAAGTTATAAAGCAGGTGGTATTAAGTTTTTTAATCATAATTATTTTGAATGATTTTAAACAGTATTTGCATTTCCTTTTAGAACACAGGCAATATTAAAAATTAATAATTCTTATGATTCTAATGGAAAGATGTATGTAGTTTTAGAAACAGAAGGATAAGAGCAGAATTAGAAAAGAACAGCTTCCATCAGAAAAGTCATGAAAGCAGTCAGATTTACCTTGTTGTATTTCAGTTAAAGCTATGGCTCAGAGATTTGCACCTTCACTATACTGTTGAACATTTGTCATTGTACTATTCAAAATCAGACTTAATAAAAAAAAAACACACTGGTAAGCACTAACAGATCCTCCAACTTATAAGACCAAGATAGTCATTCATCCCTCTCATGCAACCCATAAGGGCATCTCATTAAATAGTGCTCCTATGGCAGCATGAGGAATTGCAACAATTCCACCAACATTTAGAACAACATTTGGCACACTACTAAAATTTATGGACCTTTGTCATCATGGAAACAGCCATAAACACAATTGCAAGCTAGCAGGCTAGCTAGCAGAAAGTTATCAAAGCTCTGTTGTCTTGTAACTGTCACAAATATGACATCACAATTATGAAACTATTACAGTTTCATTACGTTTGGCCATAAAATCTACTTGTTATAAACGCACACCCCGCGAGGTGGTGTGACAGAGAAAATGGACTCAGAGGGCTGACTTCACCATAAGCAGTGTTTATTTAGTGCTGTACAAGGCAAGGAGTGCTATTACATGACATAACTATAGAGACCAGAATGGGTGTAGATGGAATAGATGTTGACCACAGGAAGGCAGGAAGAAGGTAGTTGCTGGGCCGAGCTGTGGAGCGTGGAGGTCACTCACTGGCTGGCCGAGTAGAGCTGGTTGAGGCTGAAGAGAAGGGAAACAAGGCAGAAGGCGATGATGAGCAGAGAGGATCGGGGGGAGAGAGCACCGACCTAGCTGGTGTATGATTGTCCGACGGCAGTATGGGGTAGGTCCGGAGGTAAACAGTTTTGTGTGGGAGTATGTGTCCTGAAGGCAGGAACGGGCGAGGAGAAGGCTAGTAGGGAACGGAGGCAAACTGAAAACAGTCACAAAAAAAATAAAGAACAAGGCAGATGGTAACAGGCTCAGGAATGACGAGAGCTGCTCTAGTTGTCTGTGTGGGCACAAGAACGAACTGGCAGTGGGCAGGTAGGAAGGCGAGGTAATTAAAGGAGATCCGGTGATTGCAGGAGTGACAACAGGTGGTGATAATGAAGATAGCTGGCAGGTGCGTGGAGGAGAGAGGGCAGGTGAAACCGAGCAACCCTGACACTACTTGGTTAGGTTTAGGAAAGAAAAAAACTACTTGGTCACATTTAGGAACAAAACCATGTTGTTACATTTAGGAACAACAAAGTACAATTCTTCTTTACTTGAGTATTTTTATTTTCTTTTACTTCACACTTTGACTTCACTGCATTTTAGAGGCAAATATTGTACTTTTTACTCCACTACATTTATTTTCTAACTTTAGCTACTAGTTGCTTTTCAGAACCAGATTACTACAAAAAATACAGTATAAGACCTCAATGATCTCTGGTGGAAAATTCACAAGCTACCCAGCAG